TGTGTGCACGGACTCAGCAGAGTGTGTGTGTGTGCACGGACTCAGCAGAGTGTGTGTGTGTGCACGGACTCAGCAGAGTGTGTGCACGGACTCAGCAGAGTGTGTGTGTGTGCACGGACTCAGCAGAGTGTGTGTGTGTGCACGGACTCAGCAGAGTGTGTGTGTGCACGGACTCAGCAGAGTGTGTGTGTGTGCACGGACTCAGCAGAGTCTGTGTGTGTGTACGGACTCAGCAGAGTCTGTGTGTGTGTGCACGGACTCAGCAGAGTCTGTGTGTGTGTGTACGGACTCAGCAGAGTCTGTGTGTGTGTGTACGGACTCAGCAGAGTCTGTGTGTGTGTGTGTACGGACTCAGCAGAGTCTGTGTGTGTGTGTGTATGGACTCAGCAGTCTGTGTGTTTGTGTGTGTGTATGGACTCAGCAGAGTCTGTGTGTGTGCGTATGGACTCAGCAGAGTCTGTGTGTGTGTGTGTGTGTGTGCGTATGTATGGACTCAGTAGAGTCTGTGTGCGTGTATGGACTCAGCAGTCTGTGTGTGTGTATGGACTCAGCAGTCTGTGTGTGTGTATGGACTCAGCAGTCTGTGTGTGTGTATGGACTCCGCAGTCTATCAATAATTAAAATTCCTGTGAGTTGTTGTGTAGGAAGGGCCCCAGTGTATTGCTTTGCCCAGGGGCCCTTAACTATGTTAAAATGGTACTGCTTGTGTGTGTCAGTGAGCTTCTATTTAGTGAGCATGTGTGTGTCAGTGAGCTTGTCTTTAGTGAGCTTGTGTGTGTGTCCCTGAACTTCTTGTAGTGAGCCTTCTGTTTATACAAGTGAGTGTCTGTAGTAAGCTTGTGTGTGAGTCAGAGTTTTGTCTGTCAGTAAGCCTATTTGCGCATGTCAGTGAGCTTGTGTGCTTACTGTACTATATATATATATATTGACTTGTAGGAATGGCATACGTTTTTTTTCCAGGGCTGCTTTGGATTCCCAGGGATTCCCAGTTTGGCTCTGCCAGCGAGTGCACTTTACCGCTGAATAATCTGTGTGAGCTGCCGCACACTTTAGCCCTGTTACACGCGCCTGGGAGCTGCTGTTGACAGGTACTAGTAGTCTAGAGATTGGGGTATATGCTCAGCTATCTGTATAATACAGATCTGTGTGTATAAAATATCCTGGGATAGTCAGTGCTTCCTGTATAGTGCTGCTCTCTGTCTTGGGATTATACAGAGAGCAGCACTATACAGGGAGCACTGAGTGTCCCAATTTATTATACACACAACCCTGTATTATACAGAGAGCACTGACTGTCCAGGGATATTATACCCAGACAGTAATTGATAGCTGTGCTGCAAAATGTCCTTGGAATTTTTTTTTCAAATGTTGGCAACTATGGCACTGTATCAAGGATAATGTGTTTGTTTTTTTAATAATCCCTGGTGGAAAATCATGAATCCTCCACCAGGTATTATTAAAAAAACAAAACACATTGTGTTGGGGGCGTGGCTTAACATGTGACAGGGGCGGGGTCAAACTGCGCGAGGGCGGGGTTAAATGTGCCCCCCTACTTTTGTCACTGGCCCTCCATGTGCCCCCCCGAAAAATGAATCCTAGAGACGCCACTGAGCTGTGCATATTACAAATCGACGTTTCGACACATAATGAAAGTGTTTTGCACTCAGGCTCAATTTTTTATTTGCCGGGTGCCAGCCCATAAGGCTTCTGTGGTACAATAGTAATCAAAAGTATGGTCTTTCCATAATAAGTATTGCTTTATTCCAAAATCATGAATTCCGGATCGACGTTTCAGTCCACACAGGGACTTTCACCAGGAAACTCATTCTATAGAGTGTTACATGTTGATTTTTTTTTCCATTAGCTATCAAACGCTGATACACATCTGACCTTTTATATTACAATTGCAACTTTATCATTGATAGCAGGGAAGTGGGCATCACAACAGATCCTTTCAGTCAAGCTACACATACAAAAGATAGAACAAACCCGAATATATGAGCAAATAATTAGGTCAAGCAATAAATCTCATAATGGGATAAATTCAGCATCTCAGAAATATTGGGAAACAGCATGGAATAAGTGGAAAATCTATATCAGGCTTCCACAAAATCCAGCCCTCCAGATGTTGCTGAACTACAACTCCCATGATTCTATTAATGAAATAGATAGGCGGAGAACATCTGGAGGGACAGAGTTTGGGGAAGCCTGATCTATATGGACAACAATTTGGCGGAATGGATAGGAAAGGCAAACAGAAGGTTTGACAGTTATGCCCATGGGTACTCCAAGTAAGTATCAGCGGAAAATGGTATAAACTCTAAGTTACATTTCACGAAATTGACTAAACATTAAAATATATATAAACAACACTGGTAGGGACAGTCTGGATAAAGTAATTGCAGTCTTCTTATAAGTACTCAAGATGAGGTTGGATAACTATATGTCTACCCTAGTTACAACTAATTAGGCTTCTTCATCTGCTCTCCAGGCAAGTTAAAACATCCAACTCACACAACAAACACATGCTATCGATGCGTTTCTTTTTTGAGCATGATATTAGTTTGTGCCAGCAAGAAGTGACAATATGTATTGTGCACTTATCAAGTGAATGTATACTGTATATGCATGTTGTGAATCTCAATAAAATTCAATTTGCCAAAGCAAACAAACATATTGTGGTCATTTCCCTTTAGATAAACACTATAATGCTATACCTACTTTTTCCATATCCACAATATAGTAGCAAGGTAAGCAGTGTGTACGGATATGTTTGAGCCAATTGCAGAAATATCCATTTTATAATTTTATATTAAATTTCGATTGCCTAAAAATGCTTTGGAAACAATATTATATGGTGAAAACTACAACATTTTGCGGGCTTAAATAACATTTTGTCATTGAGATAAACTACCTAGATGAAAAAGTATATATAAATATGTTTCTATAATTTAAGACAAGAACTCATTATAAATATTGCATAGGTGAATGTTTGCTTGTTATTACAAAAACTCTTTTATACGTGTTTTGAGTTTCCATATTCTTTTTGACCTCAAAGAAATAATTTTCCATTTTAAAACTATTTTACAGGGCCTTTAATAATGCAAGATGCACAATGAAGGAGTAATTACCTTCACATATAAATGATAAGTCAAAGGTCAAAATAACCTAAACAAATGTATTATGAATTATTAGTATGTTCTTTGCGAATATTTTAGTATGAAGTACCTTGAAAAGTGGTTCTATTAATAATGTAATGATGGTAAGTCTTCTCATTTCCTGTAATATAGCATATTTATGTTTGCAAACCAAATGGACACAGATTTTAGGTAACAATAAACATAATGTTTTAATTTAATCTAATTTCAGACCTACAGTGGGATGTTTAATAAGTTCTGATGTTCTCAATGTTCCTCTGGATTGCAACAATAATGTATGAAATTTGACCTGAAACGGCATTTTTGTTACTTACTGAAAGCTATTCAAGTGTACATTTGGAGATTAGCTACAAATAAGCAAATTTATTGAAAACCACAATGCCTACTAGAAGTCCACACATTTGAATTCCTTTCAAACTTATATTAGTATAAATAAAGTACAAAATGGGTAATGTGAGGGGTGTAGAGAACTCACAAAATATAATCATATTCAGACTTGTCTTCCTTCAAAGAAGGTAATTAATGCAAAATATCACTAAAGCTCTGTGGTAAAAATCCTCATGGAGCATGTAAAGGCAGATAAAAAAAGCAAATAGCGTGGCGGGTATAAACTTAAACAATGAATTTATATAGTTTTGCACTTTCAGGTAAGTAGATACCAGAAGGCATTTCTCCTCATCTAGTGGTATAAAGGAATGATGTACAGAGATCAATCTCTTCAGATGTAAGGGGGAAAAAAACAGTACCAAGAAAAACAAACAAAAATTAAACCAATATAAAAACAAGATAAAATCTCTGTATCCAATTCACTGTATCCAATGCACCACAAGAACTTCCCCAGGGATGTGTATGTCACATCTGGTTTGTTTCCCTTAAATAGCATGGTCTTGATGTTCTAGTAGCCAAAATGCCTATTAGAAGTAAGTCTACACATTTCAATTCCTTGCAAACTTATTACCTGCCGGTGCAACCATTAGGTGGCACAGATGGCTGCCTTAGGGAACAATCCCAGGTGACCTGCAGGAGAGGAGCAAACCGTGTACAGCTCTCCCTACTGCCAGTCACTTCATGAAGTGTGGCCTTGGGGACTGTTGGAGAGTTCTGTATTCTCTACCTAGTCTAATAGGAAGCTACTAGCAGAGAGCTACAATCCGCTTCCTGTCAAAATACAGAAGATCTTCTACTGCAGTCTGCGAAGCCATGCTAAAAGGAGGCGAATGGGGGAAACCACAAAAGGATGGAGTGGAGGGTGGCAGTGGAAGAGACCACAAAAGAGCTGGAGGGAAAGAGAAAAGGTCATGAGGAGTAAGTGAGGCTGGGAGGGAGAAAGAGACATATAGAGGGTCTGGGAGGAAAAAGAGACATATAGAGGATCTGGGAGGGGAGAAAGAGACACACAGAGGGGCTGGGGTGGAAATAGACACACAGAGGTGCTGGGGAGAGAGACACATTAAGGGGCTGGGAGGAAGTAGGTTGTTTTAGACAAACAAAGGGTGGTGTAAGACACACAAAGTGGGAAAACTCGGGATCAAGATATACTAAAGAGGGCTGTAAGACACAAAAGGGGAATAAGATACATTAAAGGGAGCAAGAAATTGAAAAGGGTGAATTCACACAGGTTAAGATGCATTATTTTTGGTGGGAGCAGTCAAAATTCATCATCACCTATGTAGCCAAAAATCTTTGCACTGGCTTTGTTGGCTGTACACACCTGATTATGAGATTAGCTCTTGGCTATGATACATAAGAGTTTAAATGCTCTAATAAATATATCCTACAATCATCATGCTGTGAGGGTCAGGTGCAGACTGGTAGGCCACGATGCTCATGGGCTGAGGTTAACAAGGCAATATCAAAGGATCTCCTCTGCTGGCCTATACAGAGCCAGAGCTATTGAAGCACCAGCCTTGCAGTGAACACCAGCCCTCTGGCACTACTTGGCAGTGGAGTCAAGAGTGAGGGGAGAGGAGTAGCAGAGAGGGTTTGACTAGGTTACCAGTGCAAAACTCACACACTGCACCTCTGACTCACACACTGCACACACTGGACTACTGACACACACACTGCATTCCTGATTTACACACACTGTATCCTTCAAACACTATGCACCCTCTTTAGACACTACACCCCTTATACACACACTCTGCACCAGGATAGGGCTGGCAGCCTTGGGCCTGGAGGGCAAATCCAGTCAAGTGGCCCATTGTACCAAGAGAAGAGTAGAAACACC